CGTAATGGATCCTTTAATTTCAGATTGAGCAAGATCTACTTCAGTTGGATCCCTACTACTTGACGCTTTTGAAGTCGGATCCTTTGAAGTCAGATCCTTTGAAGTCCTTGAAGTCCCTTCTTTTGAAGTCCCTTCCTTGGAACTTCCCTTTTCCTTTGAAGTCCTTTCTTTTGAAGTCCCTTCCTTGGAACTTCCCTTTTCCTTTGAAGTCCTTTTCCTCCTCGAAATTCCTCCCATGGTCTTAGGACTCATTTCTACAAAATCCACATCAACGAACAAATCCCAAATCCAATCAAAACAGACACGAAACCAGGATTATCCACAAAACCATCCAAAACTATCTTTGGACCATCATATTTTCCCAATTCATATCAAAACTGAAAACCCTAGTTTCAAACCCGAACCCATACATCTCCAATTCATATCAAAATCTGGCACATCTCAACCAAAATCATTAATTTTCAAAATCGGATATCTAATAAACCCTAATTTCAAACAAACAAAATCTTAACAAATCCGACATACTTACAGTTGAAATCAAATGAATCCAATCAAAATCCCTATGAAATCCAGACCTTTTTTCGCCACCCTATACCTCGTTGAAGCAAAACCCCCTTTCGAGAAATGAAGAGATGAGATTTATGGATTTTAGGGCTTACATTCAAGTTCAGAGATGGTGCGGAAGACGATACAGAGCGACGATGGTACGGAAACGATGCAGAGACGAGGTGGAGACGGAGTGGAACCAGAGCTGGCGAAATCGTCGGAATCGCTTTCGAGAAGTAAAAAGCGATGGAGAAGAAGAAAACGCGAAACTGATTTTTTTGTTTATAGGGTCATTTTTTTTAAATTTTGTTTTATGATCCGGGTCGATCCGCGTTCGGATAGGATTATGCGGTTGGGTCATGTAATATATTCGATTCATTAAGGATGGATTGGTCTTTAGCCACGTTTTCAGTTAAAAAAAAAACAAAAATAACTTGTTTTAATTGCTGGGGCTTTGGAGAATAAATTTCTCATCGCTGGGGCTTTTAAGGTTACAATCCTTTCTTCATAGTGGTTGGAGGCACGATAGTGGAAAAACTATACCTTAGTGTTATGTGTTCTAGACGATTTATATTCAAGTTCTTGAAATCAATCTATTTTACAGCTGCATGATTATTTACGAATTACCTAATGCATAACTCCCATTGAATTTACATCTCTCTTTAACTTACTTGCTGTTTTTTATTTACTTTACTTCATAATCACAAAAAAGATAATCTCTTCATTTGTTCTAGCTTGACTCGACTCAGTACAATTCATAGTGTGATTAACAAGTTTTTGTGCATTCGATCTCTTATCAATACTAATTTTGATATGATGTGCACTCGTATCTAGTTTAGTTGAGCGGTAAAACTTGACAC